AAAAAATGAGATTTAAATTTTCTTTTTCACAATAAAATCATCAAAACAAAATAGAATCCAAAGTCTTTTATCCGTCAAAATCTTAATTAACTTGCCATAAGATGCACAATGCATCAAGAGTTTAGCAAGAAAAAAAGGATTGCACAGTGACGAGTTCATTAATTCCTACATGCAATGTGACCTTCTACATAAAAAAAAAGAGAAAAAAAAAACAAGACAACATAAGAAAATTAATCAAGTAAAGAGAAATAACTCATTTCTCCAACAAATTTACAAAAGTATACTACGATTTATGAACAAATTTGCATCAAGAAATTTTTACAGGAACCCTTGCACGCCGATATCATGTAAATCAACATAAAAAAATAAAGCAGTTTCAGCTTTAACTCAAATTTGGCAAAGAGACGGCCAAATTAAAAACAAAAAAATCAGCTCAACAGCAAAACCCTTGCAAATTTCTAATTGGGTTACAAATTTAAAAAAAAAAGTACAAATGAACAGAAAAGAAAAACTTACCTATCGATAAATCAGATGCTCCTAGCTAAAGCCAATGTCGTCAACAGTGGAGAAGGCTCTATTATTCTGAAGCTTCTACTCTAAAGAAGAAATCCCACTGCCAGACAGAAAAGGAGGAGATTCCTGGACCGCAAACCTTCGACTTCTCCTCTTGTAGAAAAATAGAAATTTCTTTCTCCTCCTAATATAAACATTTACCATTCTCTTGCTATCAGTTCTATCGAGGCTTACACCAAACCAAAGAAGGATTAGCAGATGGTATGGACGACGAACCAAAGTGACGCGAAGGGTCGGCGACTGTTGAGAACGAAGGGTGGGAAGAATTTGAAAGCCAGTGGAAGCTCCACCGAGGACTGTAAACCCCAAAGAAGAGCACTGCCAAAGGAACGCATGGGAAGAATTTGAAAGCCAGTGGAAGCTCCGCCGAGGACCGTAAACCCCAAAGAAGAGCACTGCCGAAGGAAACGCAAAGAGAAGGAGTGTCGAAGCTCGATCGCGAGCAGAGGGCGATCGCGAGATTCCAGGGCAGGGGAGTAATTACAGAAAAAACGCGACAATGGAACGCCGCCCGCGGGGATGATCCCGCGGGCGACGTTATTCACAAAATAAAATTCACGTTTTTTGAAACGCAGGTAAAACGTGAGAAACAAACAGTACAACGTCGTTTTTGAAAACGCCGCCGCACTTATAAGCTGCCCCAAACAGGCCCTAAGTTGCATGGGCTCTCGAGCGGACCGCTTTGTCTATAAAGTAATTTGTAAGTTCTTGTCTAGTTCAAATATTCTTCCAACAAGGATCAAAGCAGGCAATATTGAACCTTCACCTTAACCAAATACATTCTCCTTACAAAGATTAAAATTAACATGATTGATATTTCTATAAATTCTCGTAACGAATTTTAATTAAATTATGAATGCAAACATTTTAAATATCAAAATCCTCAATGATGATTGTGTTAAAGTGAATCTCAATGTTGAACGAGCTTGGTAGAAATAAATTTAAAACACCCACATATATTCTATCTCTTGATCTAATTTTTTGAACTTAATCATTTGAGAATCAAACACTAAGTTCTAGAATATAGCGCAGTTGGAAAAAGTAATCATTTTAGAATTGCCTCCACTCTAATAAACATGCACAAATATTTTCAAGCCTTGCAAAAAATTTTCTTTTCAAAATGAAATTCAATATTTTTAAGTGACATTATCTCTCGAGCGTGTTGCTTTGTCTATATGGCAATTCATAAGTCCATCTTGTCTAATAAAACTCTTCTTCTAACAAGAATCAAAACCGATAATATCGAGCCTTCACCTTAAGCAGTCCCATCTTCCTTACAAGGATTGGAAATTGACATGCTTGATGTTGCTTTAATTCTCATAATGAAGTTTCAATCAAATTATAAATACACATATTTTAAATATCAAACTCCTTCTCGATAATCGTGTTAAAATGAATCTCAACGGGAGGGGCTTATTCATAAAAATCATAAATTCAAATTATGGAAGTCTAAAAAATATTTATATAAAATCTATCATTTAAAGCTAATGAGCAAATTTTATCAACCATATGCATCGGTTTGTAAAGGGTGACAAATTTATCATTAATAGAAGTTTATAAAGTGCGAATGTCATCTTTAATATATACTACATTTACACTCAAAATAATCTTATGCCTATATGGGTGTGGCCTAATTTTTTGTTTGCATGGTTTGACCACTAGGCTTCATAAATGAACCAGTTACCGCCAAAGCCATTTGATCAGATGATTTGACTAATAAGCTCCATTATATCATGATCACTGCTGTAGCCCTTGTGCTCTCTAATGATCTTCTTTCGTTTGAGTTGTCAATTATATGATATACCCGATATGGTAATAAATTCTATATAAGCTAAAATTGATTTGAATTTGTTTCCTTAGTTAACTTTCATCTTAGGTCCACAATGTTCCCTTGGACAAAGTAATTATCAATTGGGTCGGTTAACTCTTTTAATTTAATTGAACATAAATCATGACAACCAAGGATCACGAAACTATGCGATCTTGATTGATTTTATAATACAAATTTAGATTTACTGCTATTACGTGCTAAGTTTAAATATATAATACCTAATGATTAATCTTAATCCAAAGTCTTTTCCAGTTATTGGGATGATTAACCATCGGGGGCCTGTGCCTTTGAAAAAATTCGTATCTTAGATCTTAAAAGTTCTCATAAAATGAAAGCAAAATCTTTAAGTAGTGTTTTATTTATTGCCTCATCTACTTTCTGAAAATTTGATCCAAACTGTCTCGTCACAATCTCATTCATGTCGAGGGAGGTCGAGGCGCAAATTTTTGGAGCCCATAATAATTCAATTGCTAATTATGTCATTAAGAGGCACATCTAAGACTAATTTGAAAGCTATAAGTTTCAAACTCAATGGCCAGTGCTAATAGTCTTAACTAGCTTCTCGGGTTAATGTTTTTTGTTGCATAACATCACATTTCTAGTTATGGTAATGTAATATGGTCACATCTCTTCACTCTTTAGATTAGAGTTCACCTTGAATGTGGAATAATAAGATCTTGAGAAAGTTTGTCATTCATCCCAGCATTTATGTCCCAGGCAAAAGGCAAAGGTGGGAACATAAAGCTTCAAGAAAGCTAGTATCTGTCTGTCAACTTTTTTAAAATCAAAAATTGAAAGTAATTTTAAAATTTAATTTAATATAAAAGGTATATAGTTTGGGATTTGAAAGTAATATGTTTTAATTAGGCATGACATCGCCATATAATTTCCATATTTTAAGCGTTGGGTCATTGATATTCAAAGGAATAGCCGCCCCAGTAAGGTAATCTTCATTTCATTTTCCACAAACAAACACCTTGAAAGATTGTGGCCATTGCGTGGAGCTACACCCACTAAGTTAGTGCCCTTGATTTGGAGAATGAAGCCTTCATTCCTAGTATTGCTGCAGGAAGAAAGCTCTAAGAAGGAAGGTTACTTAAAAAATAGAGCTCTCCTCCCTATTGGCCAACTGGTGACTCAAAATCTATGGATTTAGGAGGAACTCTCCTGCTGATGCAATGTTGAAAACAATGATCATTCTCAATTCCTCGGCGGAATACAAGACGACCAAAACATTGACATAGGATTGGATCGCCACTACCATCTTCCTGCATTTCCAATTTGCAAACTTTGTTTGATCTATCTATAAAAGAAAAAGTAATTGTGCATAGTCAACCTCCAACAAAGCATAGGTTCCCTCTCTGATTTATTCTACACGTAAAATAATAAAAGAAAAAATAAATTGAATCAAAGTTACAATTGAACATCTATCCAAAATCTTTAACCCCTAATAACACAGTATTAATTACAATATTGCAAAATTAAATCCTCTGAATGGTGATTTCATATCTCATCCATTCCATAAATGAGTAAAATGATAAGTCCAAACATACCATATATTTAGCATCAACAAATGGATCATTGATAGTCACCACGTCAATGTCATCTCTTGAAACAGCTATGCGTAAGACCAACCTCCCAATACGACCAAAACCTGAAATAGTTCAAGTTCTATTAGCATAAAAAAATAAGTATCACTATCCTCACTATAATAAAGAAAATAAAAGTTTATTGCATTATCCTAAACAGCACAAACTTGACTAAAAGAAGCAAATAATAGTGCAATTAGGAATCTTAAGCAAGTAGATGTTCCTAGAAATCAGCATGAGTTATCAACAAAATAAACATAAGCAAGTTTAATCCTTAACACAACAGTCTTATCGAATACTTTAACAAGTATAAGCTTTAATCTTTACTATATGTGCTTGAAAACTATGAGAAAAGTACTGAGAACACAGCGTTTCAAAAAAGAATAACAATGTCCTTCCACAAAAAGCTACCTATAACACATTTCTTAGATTATTTTTCATTTTTTATCAGCACAGAATATTTTTCCCTCAAATGAATTATGTTAAGAAACCTAACTAAGTATAACCCCCAATTGAACAATTAAATAAAAATTTGAGGTAAAAACAAAAATCATCATCATGGAAAAGATGGCCCATTTTGTAAGACTTCACAAAAATGTGTCCAATCAGTCTCACAGAAACTCCTAAGTATTCCTTCAGTTCAAAATTGAAGAATAGTGATTGAGTGAATTACAATTTAGTCATCATACCAAGCATGTGCAATTGTGCATCTTCTATAAAGTAAATATAGGGGAACCCACGCTACTAGACTTCCAGAGGAGATGTCAGAGAGGACATCTTCAAAAAATACCAACCATCACCAACAAGTCAATCAGTAGTAAAAGATCTCAGGTATTTTAACCAAATTTTATGTCACAATCGATCAAATATGTGACTTTAGCCCAACAACCAAAATAAGTCTTGGAAAGGCAGATTTTTTGTCTAGTGTGGGGTCAATGTGACATTCGCACAAACTTCTGAGTATCCACAAATAAACTAACATAAAAAAAAAACAAAAGAGGCAATAATTATGGCATCGTGAAACCCAAACTAAACATTCACTGTGAACATAAAAATGTTTGCAAAACTTCAATCGTTTAAGATCACTTAAGATATAGATTTTTATTTTACCTATGGTATTCTAACTAGCTATTTGAGAATGCACTAACATGCCCGTGATATAACTATTGTACTGAATTTATATTAAAACTTGGATTCTATTCATAAGCAACTTCTAAATGCAATGCTCCTCTATGACAATGCCTATGCATGAGACTTTTCGTACTTTTTTAGCACTATTGTGATGGCTTTCTCACAGATGATCCCCAATCTTATCACTTTCTGGATATTAATATAACTAATTGGAGTTTATTACAAAATTTATAGTAGCTAGTCCATGGAAGCTTCTTATGTGGGCTCTTTCGATCCTATGAAAACTCCACCATTCCTAAACAAGTCCTTCTTGTGTGAGCCTTCAAGTTCTCCTTTGGTAAATCCAACGGCTTCTACCTTTGTGACTATTTCAATGAGTAGCATGTATCATATCCTGTCAAGTATTCAAAGGCAAAATAGAGTAGTATACCGATAACATGAATAAAATTATTATCAAGCATGCAAATACACTTCTTAATCTGGTGTAAGATTATGATACTTGGCCAGGAAACCCAAACAAGAGTGGCAATCGGCTTGTTAGGCTTGCTTATTTTGTTACTTTTCTTAATCATGCAAATTTAGTTTTATGCATCTTATTATATTTTCTAATTATTTATCATCATTTTTGTGAGGCATTCAATCTTCGAATGCATGCTTCAGTTAATTGTGAACAAAGAAGGGCGAAATCAAAATTGTGATGCAAAACTATGGCTTTCTAAAAATTTAAAAAATACCACTAAATGAAAAAATATATATATATAGACAAATGGTGTGTGTTTCAGAAATATAGAAGCAAAGGAAGGTGAAACCAAGTATCAAGGAATGGTTTCCTTTTCAAGTAATAATATAGAAACTTCATGTTAACCCCAAAAACAACCTTATGCATGGCATCTGATGAATTGATCTAATCTGTCATCTTTCCTCCTAACCTGATTTTTAAACACAACCTGGGTTGCTAATGCATTCATCCAAGGACAAAATATATAAAACCGCATGTTGACTAGACTACCAAAACAATTTTTCTTGTTTAAACATGCTCCTCCTGTGAGTTTCTCTGATAAATGAATAGCAGGTGTAAGATTATTAATAAAATGCATACCATTGATGCCAATCTTTGCCCTTCCATCACTTGATGATCCTAATCATGGAAAGGGGAAAAAAAGACAAATTTTTTTATCACAAAACCAAGAAGAATTTTTAAAAAATTACTCAATATCCAACACCAATAAAAGATGATTACTTGGAACGACCAGAGGTGCTTCGGTTGCTGTGGACTTGGCGGGCTGAAAGCTTATTTCACTAGTTGCCCTGTAAATCACATAAACACATGATTCCGTTAGAAAAACTAGAGGAAAAAACTTCAAATGTAAAAGTAGACAATAAAACCAAATTATGTGATAAACAACTGTGAAACTGCTTAACTGTAATGAAACCACGCCCGAAGAAAGCGTAGAACGTAAGGCACTTGAACGGATGCAAGCAGAGCCGGCGCTAGATCTCCTTCTCCGACAAAAAACCTAACCAGGTGTAGAAGCATTCAATCAAAACAAATTGGGTTATTAATATAAATAATTTTTGAATCTTATGTTCCATCTCGATCAATTATGCAATTTAGAAAAATGTATACGCAATATTAAAGAGGCTACAAAAATCCGATGATTAATATTGCATTAAACCGCTAAGAATAACCGGCCGCTTGGCAAAAAAATGGAAGGAATCCCAATAAGAAAAAATATATATATATATAATCCCGCATTAAAATTACACATAAACTTAATTAGTCAATTAACCCGTAAAGCACAGCCGAAGAGGATGACAGATATCGATACCTTGAACGGCTCCGGAGCTCGAACTATTGAATCGGCATGCAAATAATCACGGTAAGCTTCGGGAAGAGGAATGGCGGATCTTAGGAGAGTGGAGAAAGCCATTATAAGAATTACGACTAGCAATGCGTAGTTACCTCCCCTCTTTCTCTTCTCCCCAAACGACAACGAGACCTATAGGCGGAAATTGAAGGTAAGCAGAAGATTACAGAGGTTGGTGGGCGGGGGATTTATGGCTGCGGAAGGGTTTCGAGAGGCAATTTCGTGAAAGTTGCTTTGAATTGCTGATTGGCTAGATCTTGCGGCAGGCGGCTTAACCTTTGAAACCGGAAGAAGATCGGCCGAACCGGTGGAGCCCATCAATGGCCGTTCAGATGACCGTTCGGTCCTCGGCGCGTGCTCTTCGCCGTTGGATCACGGACACATTCAGGCGGGGGGCACGTGCGTTAATTCATCAACAAGAATGGGGCAGCGGAGGGGAGCGGCGGAGATGCGGAAGTCAATTTTTAGAATGCGGTTGGTTTGGTTGTTGTCTTTGAAATTGTTATAAAGCTGTTGCTGAAAATTTATTATTTAGGTGTTAATATTTTAAAAATAATTAATTTGCTTGAGAAATGTAGTTTTGATAATATTATATATTGGTATAATTATTATTATACCCATAAAATATAATAAACACAATGCAATTTAACTATTTGAAAAACTGAGCAGTGATTCTTGTGAATTGAATCCAATAATAATTTATCATTTTTTTTTCTCTCACGACGCCAAAGATCATATTCAAATGAACAATAACTCAATTGTAAGAAATCTTCAAATTATGCCCTCCAACAACAGCATAAATGCAGTGATTGTCACATATCAAACGATCCAACTTTCTATGACTCGGATAGCCGTGGATATAAATGTCTCAACAATAAAGACAAATATATTGGGTTGCTTGACTAAACTCTGAAATTCTAACTTTAGATCATCTCAGCCAAAAAATAAAAGTTTATTTACAAATAAAAAAAATAATCCAATGCAGTACAATCTGTTCTTCGAACTACATAAAGACTGTCAAAACAATTGTAAACCTGACAACAACAAAAGTAATGCCAAAATAACAAAATCAAACATGAATAAAACCTTCACAAGAAATTTCAGGACCTTCACAACATTTTTCAACGTATCGTCCACTAAATATCTCTTATCGACAACCCGCTCATGTATTGTGTCACTTAGCTCATCGTCCCACTGGAAAAACTTGCAATCTCTATTCGTTGAATTCTTTGGGCATATGTAGAACCTTCATCATATATTGTCCCCTTTCTGAGCTGTCAAAACAGCACATAAAAGATTGTAGTCACTTAAAACAGATTGATGTTTAATCCCCTTGGAGCTTGTTGAGTTACTTGAGTTTTTTTCCAATGGTACAATCTTGTGCATTAATGATTAGCGCGGTTCATATGTGAATATGACTGTAGCACCAAATATAATTTATTTGCTCGCACCCAACAATGAGTATAAAGAGAAAGGTTTTCAAAATTATATGAGTACATAATCAAATTATACAAAATCAACCGGACGATCGACAATAATCGGGCAACCGATTGACGAGATTTCGCGTTGTTGATTTTGGCCTCTTCGAGCATGTGACCATCAACACCAATTCATCTATCTGCTATAATCTTCAAAGTTTAATGATTAGCAACTTGTTTTTTAAAAGTGCACATCTATTTGAGGGTCTCCACAGCCACCGACTTTTCCCTCGAAGAGAAGTCGTTGGCGGATTAAAGGATGCCACGATCAGAGCGTTGGGAAAAAATCATGTGAGAGATGGTAATGCATGGGTGAGTGTTTTTTCCTCAGTGTCGTTCATATTCTTGTTGACGACATGTACGCTCACCGCACTGTTTGTTGGATCCAAAATTGTCCTGTGGTACGTACCCATGACATAGAGTGGTAGGAAACCAGGAAAGAGAGAGAGAGAGAGAGAGTGAAATAATAAGAGAGAGTGATGCAGGTATTGCCCCCATCGGGGCAAAGGCTAGGGGTCTTACGAGAGCTTACAGACTCATTTTATACATAGAAAGACGGTTTACATGTGAAGGAGAGAGCCCAAAATGGCCTCCCTCACCTTACATATAAAAAAGTCATCATATTTATAGATTATAAGATGATAAATAAAAAAAATATAAGTTTGCCTCTGAAAGTTATTTTTGTTACTCTTTCATATAGTGGTGATAAATATTCACATACTTGGGTATGTCCAATGAGACGGTCGACCGACAGAATGCGATCGGCCGATAGACTGCAGTCGGCAGACGAACGAACTGTAATTGGCAGACGGACTGTCGTCGACCGATGGATCAAGGGTTGGCCAAATAAGGTGATCGACTAGTCTCTACTACCATCGGATCTCATCTTAATCTGCACGGGCACTTTTCTGTCATGCAATATCATATATGTCTTGATACGCCGTCAACATATTTTCATCATCTGACACGAATATCGAGACATAACACGGATCTCGAGATAATATCTTGAGCAAGAAACATTCAAACTTCAATTAAGAGTCATCCAGAGCTCTGATTTCAGCAAACTTATAGTCAAACTGACCGAATCGATGAGACGGACCTAATGATATCAAAGTTAGTCCAATCCGAGTTAAATCAAGCCCAGTTCAAGTGATTAAATCATTCTTAGAAGATTTCTGGACATATTTGAGAGATCAAACGAATGTCGAATTCAGAATCGAGCAAGTCGAATCGAGCATCTCGACAAGACGAATCTAACGAGACCAAGATTGCTCAATTCTGACATCATTAAGGCACTCAAATGTCCACCAAACGTCATCCGATCGAGGGAAGCTCTTCGGACCGTCCGATCAAAATGGTTCATATTCCTGCATTAATTGCACCCAGAATACAATAAATAGAGCCCCACCCTTCACATGAATGAGAAAGCTTAAGAGAGAACTTGAGGCTTTGAGAAGAAGCTCAAGTCCAAGATCATCCTCGCCATCATCGATCGTCGTCGACCACTACTAACCGTCGACAACCACCGCTAACTTTCGTCGACCACCACTGACCTCCGTCGACCACCGCTGACCTCCGTCGACCACCGCCGATCGTAATCGATTGTCGTCAACTACTATCGATCATCGCCGACCTCCATCAATCACCGCTGACTAGACGTCGTCAGTTGACATTGTATTTTGAAAAGCTAGTAACCATTTCCCGCCTGTGGGACAAGGGACATCTGTAATTCTCAACTTATAGTGGATTTTTACAACTGGGTCAGGCCTTGTGGTTTTTCCCCTTTACGGGTTTTCCACGTAAAAACTATTGGTGTTATTACAACTTGATTCATTTTCATCTGAGTGTGTGCTGAATCATCACGCAGCGCTAATACGATAATCCATTACTCAACCGGCCCCAAATTTTCTAGCATTTTCTAGCGAACATCCTGTCTATTAACATTTTTTTTTTTGTTTAGCCACTTCATCACATATGTTTTTTCTGTCATGCAATATCATAAATATGTACCATGTATGTCTAACAACCTCTCATAAGATAAAGATCCAACCTTTAGCCAGTTAAGCTCCGCCAATTTATATCAAAATACTCATAGTTGGATTTTTTAAATGAAGAGCATCGCCTATCCAACGCCTCAATTTTCATTAAATTAACATAAAATAGTAATATAACTATATGATTAAGCCATATATTTTTATAACATAATAACAAAAATTTAACACGTGTGATATCATATATGCATTTAAAGCATGTGATGTGTGTTTCTTCGATCAATGGCCACGCCTATTTTTATAACGTAAAAACGCGATAAGAAATATGTTTAATAAAATAATTATTTAATTAATTTATTTAAAATAAATTTTCCGTATTGAACAAAATTGAAAAAAGTCAACCTAATTTAAAACTATCAAATGTGTCCTTAAAAATCGTTTGCTGCATACTATTCAGATCAAAAAATCTCATAAATAAAACTGTAGGAATTAATTATCAAATAAAAATAAAATAGGGATATGCCGCTTAATTATTTATTATTACTATTATTATTATTAATTATTATTATTATTATTATTATTATTATTATTATACATTGAAAAGGCAAATTAATTGATATAAAAGGGCAGATACAAATGTTTTAGTGAATGGGTACAAAGAGCCCACTCATAGAGATTTCAACTTACTCAAAAGATGACATAAACCACACGTAATCTCGAAAATTATAAAAAATGAAAAAAAAAACACATAATCATAGCGTGTGTTGTCGGTGGATTTATCACTTCCCCTTCTGATCAATAGCTGGATGTTCGATGGAGAGCTCACCCTTGGGGGGTATGTTGATCCATTAACTACTGATCTAAAACAGTCTGTAGCACACCTTGATCCTGATCTTCCAGTACTTGAGTACCCTCGTCTCTCGCGATAAGAGGTTCCAAAAAACTTCAGCTGGCATCTGCTACAAAAAAAATTGTAGTATTTATGGTCTAAGGAAGACAGTCTTAACAACAGTGGGAAAAAAACTGTTGATCTGGTTGGTGAAGAGTGGCCTGATGAGTCAATTTCTCGTTCAACATTTATGGAAGATTAAACAGTTTCTGCTATATTTTCCTCCACATGGATGATGTGGTTAAAGCCTACCGATCTCAAATGTGGGTGAAGCCTGAAACATTTGATAAGGGTGTGCCCAAACAATTTACAGTGATTGCAATGGTGAGGTTTTTGTTTTGCAACAATTGGCTGGCAATATTCATTGCAGGTAGTACTAAGCCATATTTCATCCACATCAGGAAGGGTGATATCCCTTTCATGAAGGATTCTTGCAACTGATGGCCTGGATAGGTTGAATGTGGGTATATCCAATTTCATGTCTCCCCGGTGCAACTCCAATAGAATAGAGAACTTGGTGGTTGAAGTAGTGCAACTTTAAGTCAAGTAGTTTAAACCAGATTGAAACTGTAGGTGGTTTTGGCTAGGGTCAAATTTAGGAGACCACTCAAGTAGTTTCATATATTTCCCATCTATTGTTATAAATTTTTTGGAAAATATTTCGGCATAGTCCTCCACTTTAGATAATTGTATCATCACATGTATTTTATCAAAGAGACCAATCTTCCAAAGTCCCAATAGTTGGAGATCTTATAAAATATTTCGAACAATTTCCATTTTAGGATGTCCCAACTGAAACTTCTCAATGAAGGCGAATTTGCACTTATCAACCAGGTTTTAAACTTTAACACCAGAAAATAATATAACTAGTTAACCACTCTTCCTAATTGTATTCTTGATGAGATTGCAATCCCCCTGGCCTTCAAATAATTCATGATAAACTTGAGGGAATATCTGATCTTATCCCACAGAGCCAACCATATCAACAGAAGAAGCCTTCCCAATGTTTAAAATTGAAGTATTCGGTGGTTGAGAAGAAGCAGAAGACATGGAACAAGGAGTTGAACAATGAAAAGTTACAGGGATTGAGTATGGACTGCAATCATAGCTGACGTACGTGCAGGGAGGACGAGCTCACTTGCGTGCAAGGAGGGCACGAGTGCAACGCTCAATCCTGAGCAGTCGAGCAGAAAGAGAGAGAGTCAAAGTCGAGTAAAAAGAAACGCGCGAAATCCATGGGACGAAAGTGAAGAAGATGATGATAACACAACCGAAGAGGTCGACCAAAAAAACTAGTCGAAGTGAAGCCGAAAGAAGAATCAAACACCATCGGTATGGTGGAACCCTAGGACGTCGATGTCGACACACACACACACACACACACACACCACCTATTATTTACATCCAGTAACACATAGTGCTACTATTAAATACACATTTTCATTCATAAATAAGGGAGCGTCTACATAAAAATTGAAGTTTATTTGTTAGCCATGCAACACAAAACATAGGGGGTATATATATAAATCTTCCTAAAAAATAATGAAAATGAATGATTAAATATCAAATGAGTTGATGAGTAAAATATACATTATATTAGGGTTGAATACTGATTTATCCAAGAATCACACCCAGTAATAAAACACAATAAACGAGAGATAGAGAGACATATAGAGAATTGAATAGACGCATGTCAATCATATTTTATTCATAAAATGACCTCTTTATTTATGAGGGAGTTGATAAATGTGATTATGTTACATTTTGCACATGCTTAAAGAGAGTCGTGTTGAACATATTTGATATTTTACATGTATGAGTTTATTGCTTAATTGTTCTCTAGGTTGGTTGGCTAAGCTTAATTGACTTGGAGTCTACAAGGTTGGCTTGATTAGCTGAGATCCGCTCGGCTATATGAGATCAACTTGGTCAGCTGAATTTGGTCGATATGAGTCAGTTGATTGATATGGACTGATTGTTGATCATTTACCCTTCATGAGGGGCCTCTGGATATCTCTCGGAGGGTTGTAGATATTAGAGATCCAGTTCTTCTTTGGATTGACTCTCATGTAATATTTGGTTCTGACATCCTTTTGTCTTGTTATTGTTCAAATGACTCGTTCCCGCATCCTCCCGTTGTTTTTGGTCTGTTCCGTGGTTTGGTCGCCTTTGGCCTTAATAGCTTTAGCTCGAATAGTTTCACTATGTCAGACAAATAAGTCTCTTGGTTTTCTGTCCCGTAGATCCTACTTCTTCGTACTATTTTCTTCTGGACCATCAGATCTCATCAAAATCAACGCTATCATATTTTTTTTATGTACAATTAGTTATTTAATTTTACCTTTTTTTCCGTCCATGCAATACATATTTCTTATTTTATATCATATATTTTTTTCACATAATTAATGTCATTTACACGTACATTATCATGGACATATTTATCTGTTATCAGTTATAAGGAAATGACCTAAAAAATACTCTAATTTTCAAAAACTAATTTCGGCCGTCCAATATTAATTAGGGCAATTTACATACATACCGCATAATTTATTTTGTTTTTATGTCTAATTCCTAAATCTTAATATTTCCATCCTAACACTCACAATTTTAAATTCTTTTATTAAATTTTAAATGTCAAATACACCTCTAACGCATAAATTTATAACACAAAGTGTTTTAAGAAAAATATTAAATTTGGAGCGCTGATATGTAAATTCATAAGATTATTGTGACACTTTTGTAAGGAAAAATACTACGTCAGGATGGCTCCTAAGGTATATCTACTTTCGGATTATAATATTTGATTGTGTTACGAGAATATCCTATCTACGTTATTTGTAAAAATGATGTGTTATTCCAATATTATACGATATTATTCAATTATTTTGCGGTGTTATTAGAATATTTCATCGGGTTACGTGATTTGGGGCTATGTTATTCGACATATTCCCGATGTTATTTCAATTTCCACCATGTTATTGGAATAACATAGCCCCAAATCAAGTAATGTGGGGGAATATTCCAATAACACTTGAGCCTCAAATCAAATAACGTGATGAAATATTCCAATAATATCGCAAAACAATCGAATAACAACATATAATATTAAAATAACACATCATTTTACAAATCACATATAAGATATTCTCGTACACAACTAAATATTTCAATACAAACAAAGCTTTAGGATAGAAGTTCTGATATAATATTTTTTCATTTTGTAAAAGTTTCAATTAAATTAAAATATTTTGAGTCACCTCTAAAAAAGTCACTTAAAACACACGCATGAGGTTGACAGTTGCACATTTTTTAACACCGAACGGCCAATAAAACCATTCGAATTTTGCCACGCGTCCTCCAACAGCGACGCACTATCTTTAGCTCTTTAGTCCAACCGCTTTCACCGGATACGGGATCTCTCCACTGTTCCCTTTCTAACTTACGTCTCCTTCTTCCTCTTCCCCCACCCTAAAAAATCACCAAACATCTCACAGGTACGTGTTCTTCGATTTTGTTCACGACTTCCAGTTTTAAGACGATTTTCGTTCCTGTCTGGCTGTCTTCCCCAACATTTATCCATGCACCATTCTTCTTCAAGATAGATTCTATTGCCTCGCAAAGATCATTTAGCTGGGCGGTAATCGCAATGCATGCTGTGTTCACTTCGCGTTCAGTTCGATTCTGCTTGACCTAATCATGGATTTAACTGGATATTCTTTTCCGTAAAACAATTTTTTCGGTTGTGTTTCTTTTTATGGAGAAATAGTGCTTGCTGGAAGCTAGGTTTTGTATCTCGATTTCCTTTTTTTTAGTTCCGTACATTGCAATCGTACGGTTTTTTTGATTCGAGGAAGTAGCAAAACTGTCATTGATAAGAAACTATACAATTTAATTGGGAATCAAAGAAAGGCTTTGCAGGTGGGAGGAAATGCATTCATTAATCTAATTTCACACAGGTTAAATGTAGTGTTAAATTTTTTAAGCTCCTTTTATTGTATAATCTGCACGAAGTTAATTGTTGATTACAGCAAAGTGGAGTTGGATTTAATATTTGGGCTTTTGCGGGTGGTAGTAGTTAGAAATTATTTCATTTCTAACTGATTTCGCGTGAATTCAATCACTAAAGGAGCTTTAAAGGTGTTCATGGAGTTTAATTCCGGTATTTATTTCGTATCAACTCTAGCAAATCAAGAATTGTTGCAAAATAAGTGAAATCCATGCAAAACACAGCGTGAAAAAATATAAAACATCATCACCATATAAATACAGAGGTTTTATAGGTTCTTTCAATTGATGGCCATGTCCTGTTGCTCCCAATTCAATATTATGGGGAAAATATAATTTATGTTTAAATTTTCGTAGCACATTTTCTTTGCGAGACAGAAATAGAACTTCACTTCTCAGTATGAATATTTCAAATTTCATTTTTTTCTAAATCCAAGCGACAAAATGATCCCTTTGTTGTGTTGCAGATACTCTTCTCTATCCATTTTCTTCAGACGATAATCCTTTTCGCAAGCTTCTCTTCAATAGCCAAAGTATACATCTGCCAATCTGACGCGGGAGCGGGAGCTTCCCGCATATTTTTGCGACACCTGCTACATGCTACTGTACCGCGAACTGGCGGTAACTGTAGCGGCAGTCGTGGCTTGGACCGGTCAGGAGTCCCCTCGACCGTTCCTTCATCTGTAACTCATTCCGATGTGTCCGTCCCCAAACGATTCCCCTGTTCCTCCCTCCAGCTGCCAACCTGCTGCGATAAATTCAGAAACAATTTGCTTGGTGTTATTTATAAACTTGATGTCATTAACTTGGTGTTTCGTTGCCCATAATAAATCGAAGTCATCAACTTCTTATTCATTTAGCTTCTATGAAACAAATCACTTCGCTTCAATATTTTTCTCAAGCTTCTGACACTACTATAATGAAGATTATAAACCATGTATTAGAATTATTTCAAGTTAATGAAGGTGCAAGTTTAGGAAGTTTAATAGCGGCAACTTGTATGACTTTTCTAAACTCACAAATTAAAAAATTATAGTACGTTTTTACATGCACTGTAAACATTTTCTCCTTAACCAGGAATGTAAGGTAGCTGAATATTTTAGCCAAGAATTTAATTTATTGTATAGTAATTTCAATTGTTTACATGCATTCCTTATGCTTATACTAAATACCACTACCACATTAGTTGCTGAGAGCGACTTCCTTAGAAAGGCTGCAATTTTTGCATATTTATTTTATTTTATATTATTTATTTGACTTCATTGTAGATTGTCAAATGCTTTAATATGACTATGTACTACAAATATTGGGATGACTGCGTGGATTCGAAAGACATGATGCTAATGTGGGATGATATTGATGTGAGTAAAGAATGGGCTGATGCTGGAGAGAGGTTCGGACAGAAAGTTCACTTATCACGTGATCCTGATGGGCAGACATATCTTACACAGACTGAAATGAGGGTAAATGAAAGAGTATATTTTTCATCGGAGTTTCTAGTCTGTAGCCCATTCAATTTCATTTTACTTTCCTTCAAAATTATTACACAAATATTTTTTGAAAACTTTCTGTTTACTCGCAATTCATGGATTAGTTTTAATGTACCACTTTGTAATTTTTTTGACTTAGATAATTTTTATCTCTGTATTGCTTTTTTTTCTGCCCATTAATATAGTGAGAATTTTCTGTGCAACTTATAGGGAAAATGCAGGACAAATATATTTCTGGATTGAAATGTTTCTTTCATAATATTATTTGCTCTTTTCCATTGTGGATTTTGGATCATATTAATTTCTGTAAGAATGAAAATAGGGCAAGGTGTAGTTTCCATTTTAATTCAATGATTTCTTATATAGTGTTAGCTGGAGCCCGATAACTCCCGATCCCGCCTTCCATTTTGCGAATCGGTGCCAGAGCTCCCTGTTTCTGATCGTGAAAGATCGCGTCACTTCCGTCCGCGCCAAATCGTGAAATGTCGCGAACCGCTTCCGCCAACTCCAGCTCACGTTCGCGAATCGACGCGCTTCTCTTTCTGTTTGCGCTAAAATGCCTTCGGTTTGAATGAGAAGTCACGGTTTGAGTTCTTCGGTTTCCTCGGGATAGAGGAAGGTTTCCTCGGGGCAGAGGAAGAGAAGTGCAAGAGGTAGTTTCTTGCGGCAGAAGGAAGAAGAAGGAAGAATAAGAAGATTGTTCTCCCTAGGCTTAATCTTGGTGGCTTGTGGCAGAAGAGAAATTGAATTTATTTCTCTTGTAAGTTTATCTTCTTCAGTTTATCTCGGTGTAGAGTTTCTTCGGTGTATCTCGGTGTAGAGAGAGAAGAAGAGAGAACAACGAAGTGGAAGTGAGAGATTCCTCTTGTAAGTTGACGTGATCTACTGGTGTAAATTTCTCAAGTAGTAAAATCTTCTGCAACTCCGTGGACGTAGGCAATTTGCCGAATCACGTAAATTTGTGTGTTCTGCTATGGTGTTACTGTTCTTTTATGGTGTGAATTTTTTTCATTCTATTTTTCGCTTCGTAGATCGTTTTCTTGTTGATTTATAGATATACCAAACGAACTGGTATATCTAGATCTTGCAACAACAACTGGTATCAGAGCTTTGTTCTAATCAGAGGAAGAATGATGACTGCAGATGAAGTGAAGGTTTCAGGGATCGAAAAATTTGATGACACAGATTTTGGTTACTGGAGGATGCATATATAAGACTACCTTTATGAGAAAAAACTTCATCTTCCGTTATTGGAGAAAAAACCTAAAAGGATGAATGAAGCTGAATGTAATTTGTTGGATCGATAAATTCTGTGGGTTATTCGATTGACCCTATCGAGGTCCGTTGCATACATCGTTGTCAAGGAAATGACAACTGTAGATCTCATGGCAGACTTATCAGGTATGTATGAAAAACCATCGGCGAATAATAAGGTGTACTTGATGAAGAAGTTATTCAATTTGAAGATGATGGAAGTTGTTTCTGTTGCTCAACACTTGAATGATTTAAATACTATCACAAATCAATTATCGTCTATGGAAATTGATTTTGATGATGAGATATATATACTGATCTTGTTGGCTTCATTGTGTCAGATAGTTTGGAAGCCATGAGGATAATAATTAGCAATTCTGCAGGTAAATCTGAACTGAAATACGATGATATTCGTGATTTGATTTGGCTGAGGAAGTTTGCAGGAAATATTCTGACGATATCTTATATTCGAGTTCGACACTGATTGTTGGTTTCAGAGGGAGATTTCATGACAGGAACTCAAGTATAGAGAGATCAAAATCAAAGTTTAGTAAACAGACAAACTTGTTGGAATTGTAGCAAAACTGACAACATGAAGAAGAACTGCGTGAATCTTAAGAAGATGGAGAATGATAACACAAATTTGATATCTGAAGAATCACAGGATTCACTATTGTTGACGGTGCATAGTTCTGTTGAAGACTTGATATTGGATTTATGGACTTTGAATGTGGTAGAAAATTTACTAGAGGCCACAGTACAAGGCAGTGATGAAAGTTTAGAGAAAACTGGGTCCGGGGCACTCATTCTTATTGTTTCACAGACAAATGTTGAAGAACCACAGAGGTATGAAGAAATTTTGCAAGATGAAAGTTCAAGCAAGTGAAACTGACAGAACTTCCACCAAGGAAGAAGACATTGTACAACAAGTGGGTGTACTAGGTAAAGACTGAACGTGATGTCAGTAAGAGGTACAATGCTAGACTTGTTGAAAAAGACTTTCAGAAGAGACAGGATGTTGCCCATGCAGTGGGAGTTGTAAGAAGAGATAAAAGTGACAAAAAAATAGCTTGGAGGTGCAAAACTATGTGGAGCCTGCTGATATGTTAACTGTGGGTGTTACTCATTAAAAAACTGAAGTTGTGCACAGCTTCAGTTGGTCTTCTGGAGTAAAGACAGAAGCTTTGAGTTGCATAGATGGAGGATTCATAGTGGATGATTCAAGTTGAAGGATTCATGTTGAAGAAAAGGGCGACACCGCCAGTGGAGAAAATCAGTTCGAGGAAAGAGATGTTGTAGCATGTGTATCGGTCTCCAAGTGGGAGATTTGTTAGCTGAAGCCCGATAACTCCCGATCTCTCCTTTCGTTTAACGAATCGGCGCCAGAGCTTCCTGTTCTCGATCGTGAAAGATCGCGCCACTTCCGCCAACTGCTCCCGTCAACTCCAGCTCAAGTTCGCGAATCAACGCTCCTCTCTTTCTGTTCGCGATAAAAATGTTCACACGACTCTCATTTGGTTTGAATGAGAAGTCACAGTTTGGTTTCCTCGGGATAGAAGAATGTTTCCTTGGGGTAGAGGAAGAGAAATGCAAGAGGTAGTTCCTTGCGGCAGAAGGAAGAAGAAGGAAGAAGAAGATTGTTCTCTCTAGGCTTCTTTTTGATGACTTATGGCAGAAGAGAAATTGGGTTTATTTATCTTGTAAGTTTGTCTTCTTCGTCTTCTTCGGTGTATCTCGATGTAGAGTTTCTTCAGTGTATCTTGGTGTAGAGAGAGAAGAACAGAGATAGAAGAAGAGAAAACAATGAAGTGAAAGTAAGAAATTTTTCTTGTAAGTCGAGGTGATCGACTGGTGTAAATTCCTCAAGTACTAAAATCCTCTGCAACTCCGTGGACGTAGACAATTTGCCGAACCACGTAAATTTGTGTGTTCCGTTGTGGTGTTACTATTCTTTTCTGGTGTGAATTTTTCTCGTTCTATTTTTCGCTTCGTCGATCGTTCTCTTGTTTTATGTCTATGTACCACAACAACTGGTCTGGTATAAAGATTTCACAACGTATAGTTGAACAAGGCTCTAGTATTTGCCATACTCATTTTAGTGTTCCTTGTCTTGCTTGCTCTTGTTGAAGGAAGAGAAACATAAAATTTTTGATGTTATTCTTTTCAAAAGTCATAATAAACCTTTATGACAATGTGTATGCCTTCTCTTGAAAAGTAGGCCATGTTTTTGTAAATATGATGCTAAGTTTGGCCACATAAATTGAGTTGAGTGAAATTGGTGATATTTTATGGATATTCAAAGATGGATTTATTTTACAACTTTATATTAAATTTGAGATATAAGTTTTTATTTTATTGCTTACCATCATTTCCAGAATAAATTTTAGGTTTTACATTATTTTTTGCAGGCGGTGGCCAGAATTGTTGTTGACAGAGATTTCAGATCACAGCTTGACCCGGTAAATTTATTTGTTTTGTTCTATAATGGCTTTTTTAGAAGGGGTATTCAGCCTTACTCTATAATCAATAATCCAATTTTCATATGATAGCTAATAAACAATAGTGTTGGTATAGAGTTTCTCTTTAAGTACGAGTATACCGTATAAAAATTATTACTTTCTTCATGGAACTCTATTTATGCAATACGAATGTAGATTATGAGCAAGTATTGATAATATGCACTAAGTTAATCTAAAATGCAAGCATCAGTCTCTTACAGGACATTCCATATATGCTTCTATGTTTTTCATTTTGAAATTATACATGGATGGCTGAACATCAACATTTACGTAAATAGATCCAACGATAGCTTTGTTTTTTCTTAAGGGCCATTTACATATGCAGCACATAATTCTTATTTATTTACAAATCTCAGGCCTAAACTTTCTTACACGAATCTTTAATGTATGGCTGATGTTGGTGTGCTGATGGTTATTTAACACGATTTGTAAAATGCACGTGCGTAAAATAACCATCTATTGATGTCAATTTGAAATTATGCATGGATGGCTGAATGACAACATTTACGGAATTAGACACAACGATACCTTCTTTTTCTTAGATGAATTTACATAAATAGCATACAATTCTTATGTATTTACATATCTCGCACCTAAACTTTTATGTTTTTTCACATAACACTCAAATTTTTAATATATGGCTGATGTTGGGTGTGCTGATGGTTATTGAATGCAACTAGTCACATATTGCACGTTCTTTAAATGTACATAGCTATAGTAGATAATATGTAGATGTCGATAACTATGATGTAATATCAGCAAATAAAATATTAAATAGTGTAAGAATTTTACTTTTTTAAAGGATGGTTGTACGAGCTAGCAGGCAACCAAAAATATAGGAAGAATAAGAATCCTTGCCCACTAATAGATTGTTGTTAGGTATGACTCATATACCATAAATGGGACAAGTGCTAGGTGCTGGAGCGGAGCGGAGCCCACGAGCAGAGTAGAGCGGAAGGATCTATCCAATCAGGGGTGTTTCATTATGTGGGTTGGGGGTGCGGGTGCAACACCTCCGCGGTTTGACACATTGGTAATTTAAGTAATTACATGTTGTACTATAGAGTTATATATATGTCATGTTTGTAACTCTATGTGAAATTCTGAATGTTGTATTATGTATTCTTTTCTGAATATTGAAAAGAAAGTCGCCGCTCTGCTCCCGAGGATATAAACATCTTTGTCAAACATCGTAAATTTCTGTGTGTTCTTTTGGATTTGTGTCGATTCCTTTTTTTTGCACTAATTTCTCAACAATTGGTATTAAAGCGAGGTTCGAAGGCAGGGAAGAAAAATTTCGGCGGCGCAGGAATAAAGAAGATTTGGCGGCTAGGGCAGAGGAATTCGTTGAATTCCAGCGCTTCAACGATTTAGCAAAGAACTTTGGCGGTTTGCGGAAGATTGTTGGCGCAAGCAACAAGGAGTTCGCGAAGGGCGCGAATTGCGTTGGAAGACCAGTTTGCGAAGGCGAAGGCGAAGGCGAAGGCAAAGGCGAAAGAGTTTGTGGGAGGTTGGTGGGCGTAGGCGCGAAAGATTGTTCGCGGGAGGCCGCCGCCAACGCAGGAGTTTGCGAAGCCGAAGCGGTTTGCTGCAGGCTGTTCGTCGGATGAGAATCAATGAATCTTCCATCTCCACTAGAGGGAATATTCTCTCTAAAACGCAGGAGGAGCTCGATGCACGCGGAAATTCACGGGAGGAGTTTCGCGCCGACGTAGATATTCGCGCGGGAGGTGTATGCGGGATTCAATTCTGAAGCTGCGCAGAGGAGTAGTTCGCCCGGTGGCGTGAATTGCTGAATCGCGCTGGAGCCGAAAAAGGAAAGCGAAGGCGAAGCTTTTATGGAAGGAAAGCGGAGGCGAAAATTTTCTGAGAAGGAAAACAGAGTTTTCTGGAAGGAAAATGAGCTTTTCTGAAAAACAAAAACGAAGCTTTTCTGAGAAGAAAAACAGAGCTTTTCTGGAAGGAAAAATGAGTTTTTTTGAAAAGCAGAGGCAGAGCTTTTCAAGAAAGAAATTGGAGCTTTTCATGGAAGTTTAAGGAAAAGGATTACTGAGAAAATTTAATGAAGGAAAAGTCATTTTTTTGGGAAACTTAATTAAAAGAATCTTAATTAAGGGATTATTTAGAAAAATTTGTGGCAGGATCAAAGTGAGGATAATTTATGGTACAAAATTCGACGTGGTGAAGTTCAATGGAATTGATAACTTTGGATTGTGACAAACAAGGGTTAAAAATTTATTGGCTCAACAAAGAATCTTGAAAGCTTTGCAAACATCAAAACCAAATGCTATGAAGGATGAATATTGAGAAGAATTGCAACAACGAGTGACAGCAACCATATACCTATGTCTGACAGATGAGGTTATGTATCACATGATGAATCTGAAATATCCAGGGGAGGTATGGAAGAAATTGGAAACTCAGTTCATATCCAAATCTTTGATGAATAAATCGTATCTGAAACAAAAACTGTATGGGCTGAAGATGCAAGAAAGTTTTGATTTGGCGCAGAATGTGAATGTCCTGAATCAAATAATCACTTGTTTTGATCTGAAGCAGCATGTGAATGACTTCAATTAAATAATCACGAATTTATTAAGGCTTGATGTGAGTATTTGTCGGCACTATTTTGGTTGGGGGAGTTGCCCGTAAGAAGCTGTCGGTCACCGGAATCGAGATCCCGTCGCCCGCTTCGGAAGGACGTTTTTAATTTACATATAAATTTAAGTTTAGAAAATTATGAAATCAAACTGACCCCATATTTTTCATAGTTTAAATGAAAGAGCACTATACCTCAAATATTTATCCCGAAGAAGGATAAACACAAAACTTGAGGATGAAACTCGATCAAATAAACTAAGAAATATATAACGTCCGTTTGGTCTGCGAAACCGTTTTATTTACCGACAATTTCTCCTATTTAATATAAAAAATTAAATAAGGTTTATATTAAGTTGGGTTCGGAAAAACTTCTTATAAGGGCAACTCCTATAGTTAATTACATCTTAAATAACCGAAGTCACCTAAGAATACTCTCGATAAAAATCAGGAAAAATTATCTTCAAGGATGTCAAAATGATAGACTTTTCAACGAAATCGGACAAAAAAGTGTGCAAAAAGGAATGATTCAAACTTGAAACATTCATTATAGAATCCAACGAAAGAAGAACTAGGGGATGTTACAGATTCGAAGGAGATTCTCAGTGATTTTCCAAGCAATTCTATTGTTTGGCTTCAGTTTAGAGGAGAAATATTTAAGTATTTCATCCTGCCAATTTTATTTAATTAGGGCTTACATTTGTATGAAACGTCACCCAAATAGACTGGAAGATGTGAGGATTTAGGTCGTGACAGACGACAACCTCGGAATCCTAAGGCGAGTTAGGTCTTAGATTGCACAACATGATTGTGCAAAGACTTAAAGATGAGGTGAGAATTTATGTTGCGCTAGACAAATAACCTCGAAGTCCTTTGGCTTGGTTGTTTAATTCTTAGGAATGGTTTAAGATGACCGTTCTGCCCACAATGCTAGCTCGAAGCTCCTTGTCGTGTCGGGTTTAGGTCTTCTAGGGTGGCGAATTATGATGTCAAATCAGACGGCCCTATTGTTGTGGTTCTTTAAACATTTTACGAAAGACATGTTGAAGTTGTACAATGTATAAAATAACAGTAGAATGTGTAGTACAAGACAAGCAGTAGAGTATTCAGTGAAAAAAGAACAGTACAACATGCGGTGTAAAGAAAAGGTAAAATGTACAACAGGAGAGTTACTGCAAGAAAGTAATATGTTGTAAACACAAAACAAACCTGTATATCTGGGAGATCCGCTGTTCTTTAGGTGTAGTTGATGCAACTGGTATAAGTAACAAAATTTGAAGAAACAAGCCGAAATGCATCATATAAACAAAAGCTAATGAAGAAAAGAAACATCGTCCAGAAAATTCGAGAAAGATCGTCAAAAGATTCACGGTAGGAAAAGTATGAGGAAACCGACGAATCGATAAATCGATGAAAAATATAGAAAACATGGGAAAATCTCAGAAAAAGATCATGAGTGCTTTGTCCAAAAGTTTCGATAAGACATGAAAAAGTCTGAAAAGTGGGGACCGTGACAACGACTTTATATATGCTTAAAGATATAAGTATTTAATACTGTTGCTAAAAGATTTAATTCCTCAGCAACTGTACCAAAAACTTAATAATAGTTATAGATTCGATAAAGATGTATGTGTAAAATATTCAATAATTGTAAAGTCACACTTATCAATGCAAGTATACATATCGCTCAAGTAATATAAGGCTCTAATGAAGTCCTAGATATCGATCCCACATAGGGTAATATTAGAACTACGAACTAAGTTTTTAGAAAAACAATACTTAATCGCAATAATGAAGTTCAAATTGCTTATCTGTCACTAATAGACAATTGAAATAAATATGTAATTTTAATAACTCTTAAATAACTAATTGTACTAATAAGATTTTTAATGTGAGATTCAATATATAAGAAAACATCATTCTCCTTCTCAAAAAATTATAGTGAATGAATAAAGTGAATCAGTTCAAATTGTATTGTGCCAAATAAGAGCATACCTATTCTTTACCCTTTGGTCCAAGCATAAAGAACATTGACTAATCCTACGCTTGTTTACTGAATCTGCGGATAGTCTGGAAGGATACCGACTCTCACTTCTAGACTACCCACCGTGCCCTAACTATAACACTAACTGGTCCAAAGGTTCCAATATCTCGACCAAATTGATAAAAATCTAGTCTGTCACTCGAGAATCACCAACTCTACGCCTATCAAAACTTCACTCTAAAATCTTCAATTCTACGCCCGATAATTTTATTTCCCTATTTATATGCACCCAACTTCCAAGGGCTTTGACCTCCCTGAATCTTGGATGTAATCTTCACTTTAGTTGTAAAACTCAACA